AGATAAAATCAGTGGTTTTGGAGAGACAAAAATTCAGAGGTATGTGGATCTATTTTGTTGTCTCTAGGAGTAAGACCTTCACTCTGAAGAAGCCAAAAACCCTCCCCATGAAGCAAAGGAGAGTGCTACAAGCTCCTGACCTGGGAGGGATGCTACAAGTGTTTAATGGTGAGGAATGCTAGAGCAATGGGTGGCTGTGAGATTGTTGCTATGGTTGGGGTTAAAGTTCAGGTTTAAGGTGTAGCTGGAGGAGAAATAAAAAGACAAATATTATATTCTGTTTATAAGAGCATATTCAATGGGGAGTGGTCAATTGTCTTCTTCAACCCTATTCCATGTACTAACTTACATAAACCCCAGTCTTTCCCTGATATGGGGAGAAAATAGATGTTGATGCAGAACATTTTGCCTATATTTTATGTTATGGATTTTTTTCTAATTTCAGAACTGACAGATGTGCGACGCTACTGGGGTAAGGAGAAATCACAATATCACAAAGTCACCTTGTCCTCATCTTCTTTTAGAATTTTGCATTTTCTGCTAGGTCTTTCGTATAACGACCGGGTTTTCCCTCCCAACGCCCACATATGTGTTATATTTCTTCAGTGAGTAATGCTCCTCAAGAACCAAATCAAATCCTTCCCATTTTCCACTCATTTTATTCTCAAAACTCTCTTACAATGTCACAAATAAAGTATGTCAGATTCCTCACCCAACCCTGTAATTTTTCTACAGTACACGTGACCCTGGATACTCCCATGGATAAATCAAATATTGCCATTTCTGAGGATCGGAGACAAGTGACACCTGTCCATTTTTTGTTTCTCAGAAGTAATGATGAGGATTGTGGTGTCCTGGGATCACCTTCTATCACATCAGGGAAGCATTACTGGGAGGTGGATGTGTCACAGAAACGTGACTGGATAATGGGGGTATATGGAAAATCATTCCCTAGCTTCTCTCTCAAGGAAGTTCAAAGAGAATCTTTAAATAGAAAGCCTTTTTGCTCTAGATTTCAACCTAAATATGGCTACTGGGTTATAGGGCTAGAGAACCATTCTGAATATAAGATTTTTGTGGATTCTGCCTACGCTGACTCCACGACATTAACCCTGTACCTGAGTGTTCCTCCCCGTCGTGTTGGGGTTTTCCTAGACTATGATGCGGGCACTGTCTCCTTTTTTAATGTCACTAACCATGGGTTTCTCATCTATAAATTCTCTTCATGTTCCTTTTCTCAGAAAATGTTTCCGTATTTCAATCCTATGAAATGCACAGCCCCCATGACACTGTGTTCTCCAGGCTCTTAAACCTCTTACACCTTCACCCACTTCTTTGGAGTGCCTCTTGCCTTGGGTGCATCTAATGAGTTGAGCTTAACATTCTCACCATCTTTTCCATTTTCTCTCTCTCTTTTTTTCGATTTGAA